GTCCCATTTTACCATTTCGGCCCGTCCCACTAAGATTGTCTCATACCTTATTTGGTAAAGTTTGTGTGGTTCTAAATCATTCCTACTTTATTTTTACTTTATCAATTCAATATCAACCACATAAACTCACTTTTATTAATAACCGTGCCACCTTCTCTTGTCCCAAACTTAGCGGGACGGAGGTAGTATTACTTTTTTATTTGTCATCTAAATTGTTCAAAAAATATATCAAAATTCTTAAATTTTTATGATCTTTCATATGACATCCATATGTGATATATAAAATGTTTTTTTTTTGAAATTTTAACTATTGCGGTTTCTGAGCTAAAAAAACGAAACACAAATTTTTAATTGATGAAGTCTTCACAAATAACTAAATATTCTATAATTGAACTTCACTTAAACAAATTCTTTTTTTTTAACCAAAAATGTTAAAAAAAAGTTGTGGAAATTATTTATTTTTACATCGAAATGTGTATTTTTTATTTCATAATTATTCAGGGGAAAAATTAAAAGTGAAACATTACTTATACTAATTTAATTAGTGTTTTACTAAATTCATATGTAAAACATATACGGAGTGTATTTTATTGACGATGCACGGGTGCAAAGAAAAATAGTATTGACGATGTCTAAACACTGTTTTCATATGGACGGAGTCCAAATTTAACAATTTGAACTCTTGACCACTACAAATGGTCTTAAAGATTTAAAAATAGATTAGAATGTTAATTATTGAAAGTCTACCGATTTAGATGTAGGATCTTTGAAAGTGGACTGAAATATTATATTCCGTTTGGTTTGTTGTATTCCAATTTGGTCTGATTCATGCGTATTTTACTAATGTGTAAACTTATTTTGATACGATCTGATTTAATCTAAGTTGAGTTTGATTGGATTAAGGATGTTTTCTTTTGGATTGTTTTCAGTCCCAGACCAGACCAGACCAAACCAGACCAGACCAGATCAGACTTCCGTAGTTATAAAATACACAGAGACCAGACGTTTACCAGACCAGACCAGACCAAACCAGGTTAGACCAGACCAGATCAAACCAGACCAGACCAGCAAATTTCAGTCCAAAAGAAAACATCCTAAAGCCTAACAAATTACTACCTCTGTCTCCCTAAGTTTGGGACAAGAGAGGGTGGCACCAGGGGTGGGAAAAAATACCGAAATTTCGGTATACCGGACTCACCATATCGAAAAATACCGAATTTACCAAAATGTTTGGTATACCGACACTTTTGGTACGGTATCATAGCGTACCTAATTACTTCGGTATGATATCGGTATATATTTTGGAAATAAGCGGTATACCGGTATACCGTCATACCGTAATTCCAAGCCAATAATTTCCTTAAAACTATAAAAATAACTAGAAACACAATACTAATTCAAGGATAAATGACTTTATATCCATGTTTCTTGAATTATTTGTACTTTTTGTTGGAGATCGATGCTATTTTAATTATATTTATGTTGTTTAAATTATTTTAGCAAAATGTGTTGTTATCTTCATATATCGTGTGTTGAAATATCTATACATATTTATAATATTTATTGATCAAAGTTGAATAGAACACAAATATGTTATCTCATTGGTATTTTATAATTAATTTCATTAATGATTTTAGCATATCACTGTTAACACTGATTTAGTGATTTTCTTTATTTCATTTGACATATAATAATTTGTTATATTAAATCATGATAATTTACCGATACCGTACTGAAATTTCGGTATACCGAAACAAGGTATACCGAAATTTCGGTATGGTAACAGTATGTATTTTTGCATACCGAAAGTTTACGGTATGGTAAAGGTATCTGACAAAATATTCGGTATACCGTACCGAACCACCCCTAGGTGACACGTATATTAATAAAAGTGGGTTTATTGGTTGATATTGAATTGATAAAGTAAGAATAAAGTGGGAATTATTTAGAACCACATAAACTTTTCTAAATAAGGTATGAGACAATCTTAGTGGGACGGACCGAAAAGGTAAAATGGGACAATCATAGCGGGACAGAAGGAGTATTAGAAAGATGTGTAATGTCCACTAATTAAATATAAACCGACAAACTATTACTCCGTATTAAAGAATACAAGGACGCATAGACTTGGATCATCATTTTTATAAGCATTAATTTGTAGTATGGCAGGACGCGTGGTGATCACAAGTTTCACAATTCTTCGCTAAAGTAGGTAAATCTCGATTTGTTTTGTACATCGATCTCGATTTCGATCGCTAAATCTAGGATTGTTGTGTGAAATGGTTGATACTAGTTGAAATATGGATGTTTTCTTTTAGACTGAAATTTGCTGGTCTGGTCTAGTCTGATCTGGTCTGGTCTGAACTGGTCTAGTAAAATTCTGGTCTCTGTGTATTTTATAATTACGAAAGTCAAGTCTGATCTGGTCTGATTTGGTCTAGTCTGGGACTCAAAACAGTCCAAAAGAAAACATCCTAAATTAAACATAGGTAAGTACTCCGTATGGCACCATCCACACAACACCTGTTTAAAGTTTATTCACTTGTAAGGAAATAAAAAATTTAAAAACAGTTGCTTTTGTACATGTCATTAAAGGCAATGATTGTACATTCAAATATTTTGAATTTTGAATTGGATTGTTTCCGTTCACGAAGCCTATATAGTACAACCAGTTGTACAGATGACACCATACAAACCGATGTCATTTCGCGCTTTTGACATCAGTTGTACAACTTTTTTCACCAAACACGTAACTTTTGCTTTCGCGCGCTGAATTGTGTAATAAACAGAAAAAGTAAGGTTGATGTTACTTTTCTGGCTGTATTGGCTGAAGTTACTGTAGATGACCATTTTGGCTATTTTTACATATATATTTTTTTATTTTATTAATAAAATACAGAGTATATTTTAAAAATATTTTTTGCTTAAATCAGCCGAATCAGCCAACGCAGCCACTTCATCCAGAACTTCATAAATTTCAACAGAATCAGCCAAATCAGCCGATTTTCATGCTACCAAACAGACTCTCTGTAGGAATTTAATTCACGCACACGAAAAACAATAACGAAAAACACACAAAATTTGGTAACTCAGTTCGCCACGAATGACTACGAAGTTGTTCTCTTCGTCTTAATCTTATTACTTATTCTTATTTTATTCAGATCAGATCAGATGAGATCAGAAAAATTCAGATTAGATCAGATCAGGTCAGAAAGATTCAGATCAGATCAGAAAGATTCGGATCAGATCAGATCAGAAACATTCAGATCAGATCAGAAAGATTCAGACGAGACCAAATCAGAAACTTTCAGATCAGATTAGATCAGAAAAATTCAAACATGATTTATCAATTTTATTATTATATTAATTTTATAATTATTATTATTATAATTATTATATTATAGTTATTGTTAATAATATTAATATATCAATAATAATAATATAATAATAACAATAATATAATGTTAATAATATAAATATTATTATTATTATTATTATTATTATTATTATGGAAAGGCATTTTATTATTATTATTATTATTATTATTATTATTATTATTATTATTATTATTATTATTATTATTATTATTATTATTATTATTATTATATTATAATAATATAATATATTAATAATAATAATAACAATATAATACTAATAATAATATAATAATATAATAATATAATCATGGTAATAATAATACGATATAATAATAATAATGTTATTACTACGTATTATATTAGTATTATATTATTATTCTTATAATAATAATATAATTTATTATTATAATATTATTATTGTTAGAATATAATTATAAATATAATTATGATTATAATTATAATTATCATTATAATCATTATTATTATTAATATTATTGTTATTGTTGTAATTACTATTATTATACAAAGTAATTATATTTCTATTTATAATTATAGATATAATTATAATTATAGAAATAAATATTATAATTATAATTACAATAATAATTATACAAGTAATTATAATTAAAAATATAATTACATTTATAATTGTATCTATATTTATAATTAGTGTAATTGGTATGATTATTATAATTTTAAATTTAAATTTAATTGTTATTATTATATTTTTTATAATTATGATTATAATTATAATTTCATTTAACTTCTATTTGTAATCACAATTATAATTATAATAATTATAATTATAATTATAGAAATATTCAAAAAAGATTAGATCAGAAAGATTCAGATCAATTCTGATCAGATCTAAAGAATTCAGATTAGATCAGAAACATTCAGATCAGATCAGACCAGATAAGAAAGATTCAGATCAGATCAGAAAGATTCAGATCAGATTAGAAAGATTCATATCAGATCAAATCAGAAAGATTCAGATCAGATCAGAAAAATTCAGATCAGAAACATTCAGATCACGTGAAGAGAACAACATCTACGTCTGGGGGCGCTACCAAGCCAGGAGTATTATTACTATTTTCAGATTCAAGAGATTACAATGGGAGAGAGCTTCTATTTATAGAGAGTAAAACTTACCCCTAATCCAACTAGGATGTTAGGTCGAAAAAAGAAAAGAAAAAAATCTGTACGGCCTAACTGTACGGATTCCGTACGGCCCACTTGTACGGAATTGTACGGAAAACTTGTTCGTCAAAAAACGGACCAAAAAATTCGAATCGACGGATAGAGATTGGTTATAGAGTCTCTAACACCTTACCTTCTCTATTCTGAATTTTCTTTATTTATTAAAGGTACTCAATCTGTCTTACTTTAAATTTTTTACTTTTTCACGAGTTTTTTGTCTTATTGTCTACGTACTACTTCGAAAAAAATCTCTTCCGCCCAATGTATATCGAAAAGAAAATTAAATAGAGAAGGATTACACCTAACTAATACGGAGTCATAATAAAAAATGGTTTAGCAAATGTAGATTTTCCTATTTAACCACCATTTCAGTCAAGCCATTAATCCTCGGCCTTCTTCTTTTTCTTCCTACCAATTTCCTCTTCATTCACCGTTCCATTTTCCGGTCATGGCGGCTCCCTACGTGTCACGACTGATACTGATCTTGAGCTTCCTAGCTGGCACCTCTGTTTACCAGAACACACTATCAGCCGCCGCAGACGACCAAGCATTGTCTTACATAGAGTTTGGCGAATCCTCCGGCAGGCTTTCCACCGAAGCTTGTGTCTTTGCCGCCGTGAAAGAAGTCGTGGACGCCGCCATAGACGCGGAGGCTCGCATGGGCGCTTCCCTCATCCGTCTCCATTTCCACGACTGCTTTGTAGACGTACGTATTATTTATATTTGCCCGAATTGGGGATCTATAGATTTTCTATTACTTGAATCTCAATTAAAGCTAATTATAGCAAACAATACAATAGCCACTTTTTTATGGTACAAAATAGCCACTTTTAGTTTTCTAACAACGATAGTTTTTTGTGTTAAACTACGATAGTTATTCACAAAAACGACGTAATGATTCAAAAAAAAACGACGTAATCCATCCTTTTATATACGGGGCACTACGTATATAAACAAGGATTAAAGATTTAGATTATGGAAAGAAAGAGAGGAGAGTCAGGGGACAATTGAATTTATATACTACGTATATTTTCTCGATTTTTTAAATGAAAATGGACACAAATAATATAACCTATAGTTCTGTAAATTTTTCTGACTGTTTGTAACAATTAAAATATACTCGGTACCACCGTGTACTTGTACTTGTTACTTGTTAGTCACATTTTTATCTATAAGTAAAAGTAGTCACTTTTTTAAAAAATGGGTCTCAATTTAACCATATTCAAAGGAAAGACCATTTTATAAAACATAATATACACTATCCTATTCTTTTAAGTTTGGAATAAGGCCATATTAATTTCAGAGGGATATTTTGGTGTTTTTATTTATTTTTATTTCAACAAGGAACAATTGTAGTCTTGTAGATGTACCTCTATTGTGCACATTAATACATACCACGTGTTTTTTGAGTCGGGATAAGACAATGTTTTATCATCCAACAAACATGGGATATGGGATAATTAAAAACAAATGTATCAAAAAAGTATATAAAAATGTATCATAGCTTACGCAGCATTTAACAGCCCGTTTTGGCTGAATTGACTAGTTCTGCTGAAATTTATGAAGTTCTGGCTGAAGTAGCTGCATTGGCTGATTCTGCTAATTTAAGAAAAAAATATTTTTAAAATATATTTTATTAATAAAACAAAGAAAAAATTATATGTAAAAATAGCTAAAATGATCATTTACAGTGACTTCAGCCAATACAGCTAGAAAAATAACTCCAACCTTACTTTTTCTGCTTATTACACAATCCAACGCACGAAAGCAAAAATTACGTGTTTGGTGAAAATGTTGGCTGATAAGCCTGATAAGCCGAAAAATGATGTTATCAAACGGCCTCTAATAATCCATTTGTTTTATATGGAGTAATTTGATTCTCTATTTGCTTTTGTAGATGTTATTGGATATTGAAAGGTAAAAGTAAATGTGCTCATGTCACAATCAACTCGTTAAATTATGTCTAATTTTGATCGATTATATATTTATATATATAAATATGGATAATATAAAAATGATATAAAATTTTTCATAAATATATCCACTAAATAATTAGTCAAATCTACCCTCTTTGATTGTAAAAGTCAATGATCACTAATTAAATTGAGACGGTGGTAATATTTCTAAAGTCAAAAAATGATCCGACCTAAAAACTCAACGTGCAGACATGATCATTTTAGGAAATGATCAAGGAGCAAAATACATACGTACTATTTAATTTAATCTAATGAGAAATGCTAAAAGTACCCCAAAATGGGTACCCATTCTTATCCCGTCTAATGTGTGACCATAAATGGGACAAGACATTTAAGTGGTATGGGGCAAGAATGGGGTCCCCCATTTTGAAGTAGGGCTGGATTCGGGCCTGGGCCCGGCCGGGCCTCGGGCCAGAAAACTAGGGCCCGAGCCTGAACCGCCGGTGGCCGGTTCCGGTTCCGGGCCAAACCGGGCCAGACCGGGCCGGGCCAAACCGGTCCCTATTTTTTTTTTTTTGGTTCTCCTATTTAACCCCCTACCCCTCCCCCCTCAACCCCAAACCACCCTAAACCACCTCAAATGGCCCAAAATACCTAATCGAACACAAAACTTAAAAAATTTCAAAAAAAAAAAAAAATAAAAATAAAAATAAAATCCGGGCCGGACCGGGCCCGAACCGGCCGGGCCGGTTCACCTAAAGCAGGGCCCGAGCCCGGACCGCCCATCACCCGGGCCGGGCCAAACCGAACCGATGGACCCACCGGGCCCCGGGCCGGGCGGGGCCAAACAGTAACCGGGCCGGGCCGGTTCCGGGTCGGGCCGCCCGGCCCGAGTCCACCCCTATTTTGAAGTACCTCATTTCTCTAATTTAATTTATTGAAGGGGTTAACCAAGCATTCCAGCTCAGATTCAAAGTCAAATCCCTTTACGCACATACGAATTCAAAACTCAATTAAGTGAGTTCCGGCCCTGATTACTTCAATCCCATGCCTCCAGCCCCCTCCCCTGACCGCCCTGGAGTTAAATAAAAATACTGAAGGGGTAAAAAGCAATAAAGGATGGTACAGGACCTACGACTGAACTACCTAACAGAGGATGTGTTTAACCATTTAGTGCATGTCACACTCGAGTTTACTTTTCTCATTTCAACAGTACCTGCCAGCTATGTATCATTATATCCTACTTATCTATTTAAAATGGAAAGAATAAGTTTTACATTTATTGTTTCTGGTTTTAGAATATGAGTATTAAGACCTGAACTGTTTAGCTTGTTATCCTGAACATTTGCAATGTCAATAATTTTTGTATACACTATAAAATGTCAAAGCATGAAGTTTTTGGAATTGATTCTGCTTCTCCTTCTATTTTAAAAGCAGAATTAGAATTACCTTTTCAGAAACACGCAGAAGTAAATTGTTTTTAACAGTTATTTGGAGCATCAGAACTACTTCTGTACTTTCACCCAAACATATCTACCTCTGCTCCCTGAAGTAGCAGAAGCAGTTTTCAAAAGCAGATTCAAACACCCCTAAGTTATATTAGTGTCTTTATACTCTATTAAAGTAAAGATGATGCAATATTCTAGTAGGATGGAGATGGGAAAGATTGAAAGAAATACATTGTTCCGTTGTGTTCTTTTTTCGTAGTTGTTTTTCCTGCTTGTAAAATGTTGGGTTTGGATGTGGGTGATGAGAGCATTGCGGCAATCGTCTTTGGCTCTTTTGTGCCCATTAATAGATCAGCGAATTATATTGCTTCGTTGCGGGTGATTAATTCCGAGTCTGGTTCGCGGGACATCGGTTGTTAGGAATCTTTTTGTCGGATTACTCATAATCTGAATTATGTGTTATCAATTTAAGCATATTTCTTCCAAAAAAAGGTTAACCGCAACCCACATCCGCCAATAAATTAAATTTTCCATCAGTTTATACGCATTCACTAAGTTAATTCAGATTTTACTGCAATCCAGCACCGTCAATATATTCAGAATCAATTTTGAAAAAATACTGAAAGATGTAAAAAAAAATATTTTAATGATGAGATCTTAATTTTAGCACCTCAGTCTATTTAAGAAAAATCTGGGTGTGAAAACTTTTAGCAAATGAATTTTCATATACTCTCTCCGTCCCAATTTGATGATCCCGTATTTCCTTTCTGGGCCGTCCCAAATTGATAGTCCCATTTCCCTTTTTGGAAAAAAATATGTGGTCCACATCATTTCACCTTTTTATACTCAAATCTCAACCACAACTTTTACCTTTTCAACCACTTTCTTAATATTTGAGCCCAAAAGAAATGAGATCATCAAATTGGGACGGAGGGAGTATATGTTTTTTAACTTTTAATATGCAATATTGATGTTATAATTTTGGTATATATTTTATACTCCGTATAACACTTTGAATAAAAATGGGATATTATTATTGAATGGGCCCGTATCATATGGCTGCTTCAATTTCACTCGTTCCTCAATTCTTCCAACGTGCAGAGCAAATGGGGGAGTGAATGGAGTGCAATGCAATTAGTAATAATATTGCCATTGTTTTAACTTTTTATTTTTTAATTCAAAATTTTTAAAAAATATATCACATTTTTTTATTTTTTTACAATCTTTCATATAATATCAATATTGCATATAAAAATTTTAAACTAAAAATGAATATGTAGAAACAACATTTTTTTTTTTAATTTTTTTATATACAATATTGATACTATTAGAAAGATCTTAAAAAATTATTAAATCTGATATATTTTTTATAAAAGTTAAACAACAAATAAAAAAAGTTATTGTAATTTAAAAAAAAAATGGAATGATGTTCACCCTCTAAAGAGGAGGTGAACAAAATTGCACTAAAGGTAAGCCATATACATAGGTTTGTAATGATTTTTGGGATGAAAATCCCAAATTTGGATTATCCATCCTAAGGTCATAAGAATGGCTTGTATATGTTGAGCCATTGTGACATCACAACAAATAATATTGAAATTCAACTCGGTTGAAATGTATGATATTCTAGCTAAAGTGTCTGGATAGTGATTCTGCTGATATATGGAAAAATTATATTTAAAATATATTTTATTAATAAAATAAAGAAAAATTTATTTGAAGAAATAACTAAAATGGTCTTTTACAGTAATTTCAGTCAATGTAGTCAGAAAAGTAACATCAGCCTTACTTATTTGGATTATTACACATCTCAAACAACGAAATTAAAAATTACTAGTACATGTTTAGTGAAAAAGTTTGCGTATAAGACAAGTCAAAAACAAAGTCACCAAACGAGTTCGTTATTTAATTTGTACTCCCTCTGTAACATTCATATCTTCCAATTTTCCTTTTTTGGATGTAACATTCATATATTCTCATTTCTAAATCTTCCCATCATACCCCCAATAATTTTAAAAATAATACACTATTACACCTACTTTTTTTGGATTTATCCTTCATTCCATCACATTATTTCACTATCTTCCCATCATACCCTCAATAATTAATATCCCCTTTCACTATTCTGAATCTACCTACTTTTCAAATGGGAACATATATATGTTACGAAGGGAGTATTAATTCTACATTGATGGATATTCAGGGATGTGACGGTGGGATCCTGCTGAACGACACCGCAAGCTTCACAGGGGAACAGGGTGCAGCGCCGAACAGTGGCTCAGTGAGAGGGTTCAGTGTGATCGAGCAAGCCAAACAGAACGCCAAAACTAAGTGCTCCGACACGCCCGTTTCGTGTGCCGATGTCTTGGCTCTTGCAGCTCGTGATTCCTATGCCAAAGTAAATCTACCTATTCCATCTCTTTTTTAAGTTCTTTTCTCCCAAGTTTTATTTATCTCCCTAATTTATTGACTTTTAACTTCATAGTGACTTTTCTCCCAAGTTTAATCAAATTGATATGAATTTTTGTAAGATTTATCAATATTTCTAATTTAATTTTTTAAAAAATAACCTGCTATAGCAAGTCAAAGGACTTGGTCGATTGTATTTTAAAAGTAGATGCACTTATATCATACTTTTTTAGTTCAAAGGTTTAAGTGGCGGATTAGAAATAATAAAAGGGTTGATTTGATCATTAATATTTTTCATTCCTTATTAGTAAAAAATTTACAAAATTCATATTTTGAATATTTAAAATGAGAAGAATTTAACAATATTTTTTTTAAAATTTAATTTATAATACATTAATCAATAAAATTTAGTCAAAATAGAATATGTGAATAATGCAAAAATTCTAATGTTGCAATTAAAAAAGAATAGAGGTAATATATCCTCAGTATATCACAAGTAATAATTTGTAATACCAAATTGAATGTGTAAAAAAACGGACAAATAACTTTTTGGTTTGACTTTTTCTTCAAAATTTAATACCGCATAATAGGAAGTATATACTCCGTACTACATTTGACTCACGTAAATGTTTGGTCCACTATCATCTTAAATTGTTATTAATTTTTTACTTTATATCCAACTTTTATCAATTTTAATTTTTTTGCAAATTCTAAATTTTTTTAATGTTATTTTTAATATGTAAATTGTATTTACTATAATGAATTTTATTATTGACAGTGATCGGTTAATTTCATAGTCAGTCAAACATCATAAATCGAGCGAGAATTTTTAGCTGGAATGAAGAGAATACGTATAAAATTTGTAATAAATAAAATTAATATTAATAATTTATAATATTGGGATACTAGGGATACTTGCTTTATTTATTAAAATAAAGTAAGTATTGAAAACTACGGAGTAATTGGGATACCTGCTTTTGTGTAAGGAGTGATTGGCTGTGGTGTAACAGTTTTGTGTGGGTCCTAATTTTTGGTGTATTGGCTGTGGTGTAACAGTTTACAAATCAAACCTACAACGTAACCTTAGGAAGGCGTGATGCACGGACGGCGAATTTAACCGGAGCTAACACCCAACTTCCGGCGCCGTTCGACAACCTCACCGTCCAAATCCAGAAGTTTGCGGATAAAAACTTCACCCAGAGAGAAATGGTGGCCCTGGCCGGAGCACACACGATTGGAGTTTCCCGGTGTGCGCTTTTGTGCCAGAGCGGTAATCTCAACCCCAACAGAACCGCCACCCTGCAATGCAACTGCACCGCCACCGGAACCGCCGTGGTTGGCTTGGACCCCACACCCACAACCTTCGACCAGAGATACTATGAGCAGTTAGGCAGAGGTCAAGGGCTTCTGTTTTCCGACTCAGAGCTGATGCGCAGCAACACAACTGTCTCCGCCGTGACGAGGTACAGGGATGTCACCGGTGCATTCCTCGCCGACTTCGCCGCCGCCATGGTCAAGATGAGCAACTTGCCGCGCTCCTCCGCCGGGCAGTTCGAAATTCGCGACGTTTGCAGCCGGGTCAACACAAACTCTGTTGAGTCTATGTAGATGCATGGGTTCAATCTTTTCACCGTCCGTTTCCTCGTTTTGTCATTGCTTTCCACTCAATGTCAGTTTTTAAATTAGAATGTGAAAATAAGGATTTGGATGTGGAAAAATGATAAAAAATGCTACTTGTACCTGATTAATTACACGCCTGTTTACACGTAAAGTGTATTTTGTTTGTGTGTTGGCAATTCATTTTCACTTTGTCTAATGAAGGAAATTATTTGTGACCCCAGAAAAGTGAAACGAATTGCAGTCTGCGACTCTGCAAAAGTGAATTGTTTGTGCACAAACGATTAGAGGTCACACACAATTGCCTTCATTAGCTAAAATGAAAATTAATTGTCTGTGCACAAACAAAATACACTTGAAGTGTAGACAAGCGTGTATAAGTAGCATTTTTTAAAAATGATACCCCTCTCCATTTCAAAGTTTAGACTACAGTATGATGCATGCAGGCGGAGCTCGAGTTCAGCTTAGATAGAGTCATACGGTGTATTTGATAAATAAGAGTTGAGTTCGAGTTAAAATCAGGTTGAAAAATATATTACACTATTTGAATTTAAGTTATGTTCAAGTTTTATTTTTATTTTAATAATGGTATATTTTTAAATTTTCTATCATTTGCAATGGAGTCAAAGATTCATTATTTTTTGGCTTGAGAATATGATGAAATAAAGCAAAATGACTCACTAAATTGTCTGCGCTTCTTTGTTATGAAGCAGCAGTCAGTCCATGTCATTTTGGATGCAGTTTTGGATGCGATTTTAGAAATAAAGTAGTTATCGTTTAGAAATTATGTTTCTTTTTACCGAATACCGTCTATGATTTTGATCTCTAAATCTAAGATGAATTAAGACGAATTAATCCTTTTTAGTTAGAAAAATGTGTGGTGTACACAAAATGTGTACACCTATTTTGTACACTTGTCTGTTCCCAGCAGACAAGTTGTCTGTGACAGTAACCAACAATTTGTAACCAACTAACACTATCACTATCAACCCTACGGTTAGACATAGAAACGACCACTCTTGAAAGAACGATACGAATCGTTAACCACCAAACGAGTATGATCCAGTACTCATTGGTTATATCGATCCTTATAACAATATAATATCTAGCAGAATTGACCCTCATTATTCTAGACTTAAACCTAAAGAAATTAATAAAAAACGGAACAACATTTAAGTATGCACCCATGATATATGGATATAGAAAATAACTAGTGTGTTTACCCGTGCACCGCACGATAAGATATGTGTTTAAATTTTTTGTTAAATTTATAGGGACCGTGGATTGTATATAATTCGCCAATCAAGGTTTAAAAGAGAATTCAATTGACTGTATGTACAAATGTCAAAATGAGTCGAACTTCATTGGGCTTGGTCGTTTCATGGTGGATTGCATTTCAATAATATGATTAACTCATTTCACCGGTTTCATGGTTCAACATGCACAGGTAATGGGTTGACTGTACATCTTGCAATTTGGTCAAAATACAAACATCTAGTTTCGTCTTTCACTATCTTAATTATAGTTTTTTACTATGAAATTTATTGGCTATTATGTAATTATTATATTTAACATCAACCTTCGTTGAACTACTATTTATATAATAACCATTCAAATAAATTACTCCTGCATATTTTTTATTTTATAGTTGAAAATACTTTTTTTAACGATTAGTAGTCATTGTTTACAAATTTATACTCAAAACATCTAATTATATCCTTATTTTTGTACAATGAGTTCCTATAAATAATAATATTTTCTTTAATTAAACTTATCAACTATGGTGTGCTTAATATTCTAATTTCTTATATTTCCTTTTATTACTACTTGCACACAAAGGAGTTTTTAAGAGGTTCAATAGGTTCCACGGACCAGATCCCTCGATTTATGGCTCCCCAATTCTTTTAATAATTTATTAGTATTATATAGTAATATTATATATTAACATTAATCAGTAAAAGAAAGTGAGTAAGAAAAAAAATACAGATACATCATTTTTTGTCGGTCTGTTTACTTCTCATGTATTCAAAATGCTTGAGTAATGAGGCGTGTTGCTTTAAATCAAGTATAAAGTAACTTTTAGAATTTTTTATTACATTTTTAAAGATTATTCAATTGATTTCAGTATAACTATTAAGATTGATTTTGTTTATATTAATGTGGGGCCTCAATTTTACATTTGGAACCGAGGCCTCCAAATTCATTAGACGACTTTTGCTTACCCACACACACAACGTATATAATTTTGACCAAATGAGAACATAATCTAAGAAGAAAAATGAGAATGAATTTGGAGTGTTAGATTTTAGAGTTGCTCATATGTGAAATAGAAATGTGCACCACCATAAATCGGAAAGTGAGGTGGCATTTTGTGGATAAGTACTTTTATGCTCATTTAAAGTACACATTGTTTTAATTATACATGTGCACATCCATTAAGCATGATGTGCATCGTTTCAGATCACTCTTATTTCAGGGTAATTATTTTTGCGATATTTTTTCATGTGTATTTTTTACATTGTCCTGCAAGGCATGTACGCTTTAAAATCCGCAAGATTTTGTTGGAAAAGAAGTATGAGAGGAATATTTTTCATTTTAAGAGGCTAAAATTTGTGTTTTTAGTATATGCAATTTTTGTGCTACAGTCAAGTGTAAATTTTTACCTATATTTATACACAACATTGTGATGCATAAATATAAATATAAATATAGATATACATATAATAATAATACTCCAAACTTATATATAGTGCACATAATTAAACTTTTATCTAAATTTTCATTGGAATACAAATGAGTGGGGGTTTGGAAGTTGAATAGCTTTTGTTTAATTGTGTTGCCACATGTCATTTTCTCTACAAATGATGATACCACATGTCAATTATTTCTTCAAAGAGTTCTCCAAGAGTTAGCTTTATTATATATACTAGTATTTCACCCGTGCGTTGCACGGGATGTAATATACATATATGATAAATGTTACCTTGTAAAATATAAATTCAATTATACACAGTAAATCATATTAGACAGTATTGTTTATCGCAAAAATGTGAAAAATAGTAAATAATTAATAACAAATATTAGAAATTTATTAAACACACGTTACAAACTAAATTTATTGTGATCTATTTTTTATAAACACTTCTTCAGTGACAACCTTTTTCAAAATGAATCATTTCCACGTGCGCTGAACACGTGCAATCCCTCTTAATTACGGAGTATTTTACAATCATCAATGTAGATGTTTTTTTTGTTCATTTTAACCCATATTTTTGAATTATACTTATTTTACTTGTACTTGAAAAATATGGGTTTTTAAGGAAAATTTGAAAAATATGGGTAACATTATAAACTACTAAAAAAATGGGTTACTCAAAAAATTTATTACTCCACTAAAATCATATTTCAAAGAGATAATGGAAAGTAATAATCCAACCTTTTAGCGGTCTTCTTACAATAATCCAACCTTTTGGTTATTCATGAATAATCCAACCTTTGCACCTCATTTTCATTCACTGGTCCCTGACCGGTTGATGACCTGCTATTCCAAGCTATTTTCTTATCTTTGCAAATCATTATACCATAAATCTCATCTTTCACAAAGATAATATTTTGCAAAGATAAGAAAATAACTTGGAATAGTAGGTCATTAACCGACCAGGGACCAATGAATGAAGATGAGGTGCAAAGGTTGGATTATTCATGAATAATCAAAAGGTGGGATTATTGAAAGAAGACCGCTAAAAGGTTGGATTATTAGTTTCCATTTCCCCTATTTCAAAAACCACCGATTTTAAATATAGATCACTTTTGATATATTCTCTCCATTCTATTTTATTCCTTTTTGAGAAGCTATTTATTATTTGTCACATTTCAATACATTTCCATATTTGGAAACTTTTGCCCTACTTTTTTGTTTTTTTCTTGGGAAAGTTCCCGAAATAGAACTAAAACAGTTTGAAAATTCCAAAATAGGAGTAATAACTGTCAAGTTTGGAAAATACTGCCATGTTTGAAGTCCGGTACTGCCAAAACATGGCAGTAATTAGTCCTATTTTGGGAATAAAAACATGTCAGTCCTATTTTGGAATTTTCAAACCTTTTTAGTCCTATTTGGGATAATTTTTTTTTATTTCACTATCATATTTCAATGATAATCAAAACCCTTCAATCCCGATCACTCTTTTTTAATAACGGGTCAAGCTGTAGATCCTTCTACCTCCAATGACCATTTAACAAAGTTCCTGTATTAGATTGAAAAACAGTGACATTAACAAATCGATTAACTACTGCAACATAAACTGCACTATATAATTTTCCACTTCATCAAGGCCCTTGTTCTCCTTTTCACTCTTGACATTCACATTTGGGAAAATATGATATTGTCATTCATTATAATTTTTTGTAGGCAAAAGCTGAAATGTAAGCATGTTTTAACTTTAGAAGGTCCTGACTCCTGATTGACACCTCAATGCTAAGAAGAATATAGAATGATTTTGTATGTATACAACTTCACATTAAAAAATAATATTCTTGATTGAAATGATTATGCCTGAGAAAATCCACCCTATAAATATTTACAAAATTGGCTGATAAGAATTACTCACTGGGTAGGATTCTTTAGACATGCATATGGAGTTTCTTGAGACAAACTTATTGCTTGAAAGAATCATAATCATAAGGAAAAGAGCTACCCACCTCTTTGAAGGCCTGCATATCAATAATCAATGCTCCATCTGCTCTCTTGTTTCTGACTGCTGCTGGGATTGCTGCGAGCCTTCATAAGTTAGCTTCTTTTTTAACACGTGCAGCAGGGGCAATCCACAATGTTTCACTTCAATTCCTCCATAAGCTCCACAAATTGATACATTACGAAACATCAACATTTCATCATCATCATCATCATCATCATCATCATCATCATTTTCATTTACCCCAGTGCCGCAAAGGCTCCCACCTACGGTGGGGTAAGGGGGTCGGATGTAGGCATTCTTACTCCTGTCCTAAAAAGCACAGAGAGACTGTTTCGGATGACCCATAGTGAAAATCGCGTCCAAATCCCAAAATTACATGGACTGATGACTGCTTCTTCATAACAAAGAAGCGCAAACAGTTTAGTGAGTCATTTTACTTTATTCCATCATATTCTCAAGCCAAAAAATAATGAATCTTTGGCTCTATTGCAAATGATGGAGAATCCAACATTACGAAACATCAGCAACGTAGGGAAAGTTCCCGAAATGGGACAAAAAAAGTTTGAAAATTCCAAAATAGGACTGTCATGTTTTTATTCCCAAAATAGGACTAATTACTGCCAAATTTGGAAAATACTGCCATGTTTGAAGTCTGGTACTGTCAAAACATGACAGTAATTAGTCCTATTTTGGGAATAAAAACATGGAAGTCCTATTTTGGAATTTCCAAACTTTTTTAGTCCCATTTTGGGTAATATCTCTTTAATTACCCTAAATAGGACTAAAAACGTTTGAAAATTCCAAAATAGGACTGTCATATTTTTATTCCCAAAATAGGACTAATTACTGCCATGTTTTGGCAGTACCAGACTTTAAAGATGGCAGTATTTTCCAAACTTGGCAGTAATTACTCCTATTTTGGGAATAAAAACATGACGGTCCTATTTTGGAATTTTCAAACTTTTTTAGTCCTATTTCGGGTTTTCGCTTTTAAATTACTAACATGAGAATATTTCCTAAACAAAACCAAAGAATCCAAAGAGGAAAGAAAATATTTTTAAAATTATCTTTTTAGCCAAGGGAATTCGATTAGCTGAAACTCTTGTTTTTATTCT